TCTTAATTGCGCTCATTGACGAACTGAACATACATGATAATACACTTTTAATGTACAGATACGAATACGACGACCACTATTTCTTAACGGATCCTCGGGAGTTCATTTACGAATTTTTCCCTCTCCAAGAGGAATGGCAATTACTCAAACAACCAATCTCGCTGAAGGACTTCGAAGAGCTGCCCTTCGTGCGCTCATTGTTCTTTAGGTAAGTCAACTGGACAAAATTTGAAATGACAATCGCTGATTGCACTGGAAACATAATTTATATCACGTATGCAATTCTAACAGGTACGGACTCTACTTTCCCGATACGAACACGAATGCCGTTATGTACACGGATTCTACGGGCGCCGCGACTGTCCGGATAGCGATGCCCGCTCACATGCAATCGTCCCTCATCTTTCACTACAATCTGAAATTCTACGACAACGACGGTGATGGATATGACGGCGTGTCGTTGAAGCGTTTCGTCATGCAGGTAGCTAGAAATTCGTTTCGGGTTGTTCGCTCTCCGCGAATGGCGAGGTACGAAGTTTTTCTAGGACCGCGAGCCAATTATCTGTTGGCCGCATTCGTATAAACTAATTAGGGAAGTGTAATTAAAGGAGGAGGCCTCTAATGGCAGTTTAAGAGTCACCTGCTAATTAATTACCCGGCCGAGTGAAATTAATTGACCGGCAGAAGTTCGTAAAGGGTTCGTACAAAGTACAGATGCCCAGTCCACTTTCAAACATCGACGTTTAATGTGTTTACGGTTGATATTAACGTTTTCCAATATTGATTTTCAATGCAGCCGCAACGAGTTGTTTGCGCGAACCTTTGACTCTGTTCATCGGAGAATCGTTCACGTTGCCGTATTCAACGCGCGTTATCAAAAGAATTTTTACTTACTGTTCATTAATCACTGTAACCATCTTTTTAAGTTAACGTTATATTCTTGTAGTCCGTTGTCGGCAACATAGTCGCGTTTCGCGTGCACGCACCGTGCTCGGGGGCTTTCCTCCTGGACATATTCGCGAACGCCGTCACGCCGAAGGAATACTTAACCGGCGAGCCGATGAAGTTCAAGAGCGTGTGCAAATTCAAGATCGCCTGCGAGGAATTGCAAACGGTGATGGTACCGTTGCCAGACTGCGCGAGCGGCGAGTGGGGGCCGACCAAAGCCACCAGACTGTTCGGTCTCATACCGATAACACATCAGGTACGATCGTCGGCCATTTCAATGAATCTGTCTTATCGAATTTTTTTCTAATATCCACCGTTAACGCCACGTAGGAGGCACTCGTGTTCGCTGGTCGGGAATTAGAGATCCAATTCCGAATGTCGAGACCGCTTACGGATTTCATGGCGACGTTGCACAAGAACGGCATCGAGGAGAAACGGCTTTCGAAATACGTAACGCACTCGATCGCCGACGACGACGTTGTCACATTCACGATCAGCTTTCCCGAGGAGGGCCAGTACGGGCTGGACATTTACACGAGGGAGTCGACCAGCCCGGCGAACGTACCGCACGACATCACCGGAGAGAAGCACTTGCTCACGCATTGCTGCAAGTATCTGATTAACTCCAGCAAAAGGAATTAACGACGATTTCGATATTTAAATTGAAATACACATAACGATTGCGTTGAGGAAGCATCGCGTGGATCTGAAAACGCGATTCTGGACTAAAGGTGCTGCAAGCTCTCTTACCATCTTGTTCCTTCCGATTCTCCTCTTTCCTATTACAAAGAGGACCCCGAGTGACTCGTACAAATTAATCGAGATTAGTCTTTGCTTGCCAATAAGAGCTAATTAAAGCGAAGGAACATGATGGTAGCGAGGGATACGGAAAGGAAAGTACAAGTCCGGTTCCCAAGACTGTACATCGAGCGGTGCGAGGAACTAACGAAAGTCGCGAAGAGTAAGAGCAACCCCGAGCCGTCGCGCTACCTCTACGTTCTTCGTCAGATTGTAATAACGATAAGTTTATTGTTCGAGGATGAACATTGAATTAAGAGAAGAAGGTACGCCTTAACTATTTTTTTATGCGCTGCGCATTAGTAGTAACGAGCGTAGCTCGTTTTAATGGGATCCTCGATCACCCAGCCGATTTTTCCACGACAACCGCTGGCCCGCGAGAAAGTTGGTAATTATAAGCTAACCGGAGCGTTGGAGAACAGCCGCGCTCCTCAACGGATTGATCAAACTTTCACGTTTCGGCTACGAAGCATTAATCCCAATTATCTCCGGCCAGTTTTAATTCAATCGCGGGAAATCGCGTTTCGTCTCGCGCGCTCGGGCGTTCGGAACAGTCGTTTTCGTTACGCGAGAATCCCTCGCGTAATTAAATTATGCGCGCGATCGCTTCGATACGCGAATCGAATTATTATTAAATAGATTCCACGAAGACGTCCGATTTCTCGGATGTTCTACGTTTTACTTTTCCAACGGCGACGTTATACGAAGTATTCCACCATTGTTGCGAACAATCGTCGCCGCAGAACGAACGAACACAGTTACATACTTTAATTATTGTTATTAGAGAACCCACTGGTTGTGAACGGAATTCCAATCTAGTAATTACGCAGGTTTCGTCCGGGGATTTCGAGTCCTCTTAAAATCATTAAATTTTGCGGCCACGGTGGGTTTCGAAGTTCAGGTGCTATACGTTACTCTGTCAGGATTAGCTGCGCGACTCTAGTTACTTCGCGTTTACGCGCGTTAAAGCGTTGAAACTTTCCGTACGGAAAAGTTCCACGGGTGAAGCTCTAATGTAATTGTTAATTTTTGTAATATTAATATCTCTCCTCGCCCCCACCTCCCTCGCCCCCGTCGTTACAATGAAATTATAACGACGGTTAGGTAAAAAGAATCTACGCGATTTGGCATTCCTGTTACCGGTGAAATAAAGTATAACTCGAGCTTAATATCCCTCCTCAGTGTTTCTGTCTAACGAGCATGTAAATTAATTTTTATACATACTACAGATACGTAATAAAGACTCGTGTTCTTGTAAAGAAGAGGAATTAATTAAAAAGAATTTTGTATAAACTCTCGAAAAACGAACACTTAAAGCTTCGGTCATTCCAACGGGAAACTGCTGCTTTTCAACGATTTCGAGTATTCAAGTCGTGGCTGAAAGTCGAGAACTGAAACTACCTGGCCGGTGAGTGTTTACTTATTTATGATAAATTTCAAAGTACTGCAGATTGAAAGAAATTGAAGGGGTTGTTTGACGGAACTCTTTTCGGACTTACGCCCTTTAATTATGTCAAATAATAGAGTTTCACTGGTATGGCACTATTTTTGATTTATCATCTGATCGTAAAATGCATCCATCGAAGGGAAGTTGAATTGCATGCTTTCCCCCTATTTTCTAATCTCACATATCTGACTCATTCTAGGGGCGCGCAACTACTTAAAACTCGGCCGTAACTGAAATTCCACTCGTAACCGGTCGTATTATGGACCATTCGCATTACCCTAATGGACCGTACTGTAAGGAAAATCTTACGTACCTTCTGTCAAAGTTTCGGGCTCGAGAGACACCTCCACCGTAAGATAAAGTTGAAGGTATAGGGAAATCCATATAAAAACATGGGGGCCTCAGAAGGGACCGACGATTTTTTTCCCAGACGAGTGCGAAAGTATGGGTCCACCATCCGCTGAGCAGCCTAGCTGCTAGACCCTTTTTTTACTGTCGATCTCATAAGTTTCAGGTCAATTCATACATAATACTGAAACATGCTGTTCCAACATAACCACCGTAAAAGATCTGATACAACAATACATACATACTGACGTTTAATAATTTTATTTGATCAGAAACTACTATAATTACTGTTCTATAGCACTCAATGTTTGGTACATTATTATATGTAACTCGTAAAAATTAATGCAATTCGCACCGAGACTGTGTATAGCATTTTCAGTTGTTAAACACTTTTATCGCTTACAGAGAAGAAGTTTGGGACTGGTAATGTAAATGGTCCATTATGGGTGTTTTCTCATAATTGTAAAAAGTTTTACGGCCGTGCGTTTATTAGAGTCCGTATTAGAGCGCGGTATGCGCATAACCGAGCAGAGTCGTCGACGTACTCGGCCCATACGTGCACGTGTCCACCGGCCGGGCGGAGTTTTAAAAAATCAATTTCCAACATTTACGAGCAATTAATGGAGTAGAAAGCGGACGGCACGGTTATCGATTTCGCCGATATATATCTGATATTAGGACCGCGTTTGAAAGTTAAAACGGTCGCGTGTGTCGCATAACGGCCGGTACACCGTGCTCTCTCCCTTTCTTTCTCTCCCTTTCTCTCTCGGTGTATGCAGTGAAATTATACTTTATAAAACACAGTGGGGCCTCTCTCGGTACAACGAAAAACCGAGTGGCCCGGTGCACCATATAGATTCTCTCTCCCTTTCCCTCTCGCGCCGCCCGTCTCTGTCCCCGTGTATGGATTTACGATACATATTTATCAGAGGCACGGACGGAGAACGATTTATTCGTCGAACCGTGCGACATGATTGCAGAAGGGGCGATCGATATCGTGAAGAAAATCCGGCTTCGAGCCGGGATTAATTTAAGAAATAAACGAGCCGGCCGGGGAAAGTTTCGGTTTTTGAATTTCCGGTACCCTTTATCCCCGTCATACGGGGTGCTCCATCAAAGAGTGCTATCAAGCATAGATGGTTCTCGTTAACCTTTTCACATATGCATCCGCGAACGGATTCGAGGTACCCTCCCCACGATGCGGATCAAAGATTCGTTTGTATATCGTGTCATTACGCGAAGGGATTAATTGGAACTTGTTCGAACGGCGATAGCCGTAGAACAAAGAGAATGATTCAATTTCCAGCCACCAATTAAATCCATAAATAAGATTATTTCCCTGTTCCGTTCAGCATACGGAACGGTTAAATTCTCTCTCGAGCGTTTCTTGGTATATCGTTACCATAATTTCTATTTCTGATCCGGATCGCGCGATGTCGTCTTCGCTTCGTTTTATCATCGACGACTAATTACTAGGCTCGTCTCTCGGTTTATTATTCGACGTTGCCTTCAAATTGCGATCGTTATAGCAACCAGTCCTCCGTATAAATGGGGGTACAGTAGAAAGGAATCGCGAATGGCTCTTGAAGCCGCTAATTAAATATCAGTTTCCGTTGTCTCTCTCGCGGTAACTTCCGGACGCGATGAGAAAAGAAAGTTTTCTTATTCGAAAGAATGATTCTAGTAATTCGAGCCGGGCCAGTTTGTAATTTATAGCGCGTTAAGTGGTCGCATTGTAATTGCAAATCAGGCTATCTACAATTGTCGTTTCTATTATTGCAAACGGTGCTGTGACCAGAAAGTGGTATCGTTACCGTGAGAAATTCGTTTTCAGATAAACAGATTTTCTAATGTATGTTATAAGAAAAGAGAGTGAAAATACCTTCGCAGTGAATTTCACAAATTACCATTTGTCGTACATCTAATAATTGTAAGTTATTCACTTTCTACATTTGTACAATACTACTTGGTAGTAAGTAAAGTATGTGTTTTATTTTGAAACAGACGATCGATAAGCGACTCGTTCTCGGTCATGTAAATATTTGATTAACGGCGTCGTATGTTACTTTGACAGAATTAACTTGTGGACAAACGTAAAGTGAACATGAATATATTATCCTCGCGAAACGCTGAGATTATACGAATATTTTATAAGTACGGGTCTAAGATTATTTGTGTTTCGTATTTACATTTGAATAACGTCGACTATAATATATTGAATCCTCCATCAAGCACTAATAATAACTCATATTAGTACGTCACGTAATATGTGTATAGTAATACCTAACATCTTTAACACGAGGTCACTGCCAAAAGTGTTTTTATTAAAATTAGAATTACTGAAAGTGCAATACGAACTAAATAATAAAAGCTGTGAACCGATTGCAGTTTAGTTCTTCCTGTCAATAGTAATAAACTATTCTATTCATAAGTGTATAATTTATTGTACAGATATGCGAGATATAATTAAAATAAACAAATTATTTAGTATTTTATTCAGTACTTTGACTAAATGGACTATTTTATTAACTCGAGACGTTCTTCTATTGCGTGACATCATACGTTCATATGGGCAGAGCTGTTAGCCTTTATTATACAAATAAATGGAGTTGATTAGTTCAGGCATTTTATATTTTGAATAGATACCGCGTGTCTCTATTTTTCAACCCCGAACATCCCTTTCGGACAATGGCAAACAAGGCACACTGCCTATCTTCCCTCGTTCGTCTACGCTTATTTATCGGCGATTGTTGTCGCAAAGGGATTCAAGGGGTCGCGGGAACTTTTTCTTGCAGCGTTAAAAAATTCGTCGACCCACCGTCAGAACGAGCGTCCACTTAAAATACACCCTAGTACTCGAGCACATTTACGGTATTCATCGCGTTTCTGGCGTAAACGGTATTGCCTTCACGAGGACTATTTTTGTGTCGTCGCGGCCACCTTGTCTAATCTGAGCCCGGAGGATCTATAATGCATGCCGAGGGTATCTCCAATCCCAGGCAACCCTCTCCGCGCGTCAGATAGCGAAACACGCCGAGGGGTGGGAACGCGAAGGGTTTCGAAGGGAAAACCGTGGAGAGGCTCGGAAATATCGGGCATCGAAGTGGCGCGATGTGCTTTCGAGGGTGGCGTGACCGCGGCGGCACTCGGCATGAGTCACGCGCGAAACGATCTCCCCGCGACGACGGCGACGACGACATTGGGAGTTCCCCGAGTGGCGGCGTCATTTATTTGTAATACGCGCCCCCGCGATACGCGTCGTTCACCCCCCTGGCTCGTAGACGCAGATAAGAACGCGTTTTCACGCTCGACCACCGTCGCTATGCGATGATCCATGCCTACGCGGGACGAACTACCCCCGCCCTCGAGGGTGCTCGCGGCTTGTTCTCTCGCTGGCTGAAGAAATCGAACGGTGCATTATTTATAGGAAGTGAACGTAATCTCGCTGGTAGATTGCGTTCGATGCTAGATATTTACGAGCAGGGGATTATAATTGCCAATGGGTGTAGCTGGATTTGTGGAGTATAAAAATGTATTGTGGGTTTGACAATTTGTATCGTTCCATTCGATCACATCAATTTAGTATTAAGGAATAATCTCGTGTGTTTTCTTTATGATGTACTGTAGATATAGTTAGTAATCTGGTCGAGCATTTTCATCTGAAATATGAATCCTATATAGTGCTGAGATATTCAGGCCCGAATGCGTAAGCGGACATCAAAGCTGAGTCAGTTAATAAATAATCGACATGTGTGTACAAAATTCCCAGCGTAACCATTGAATCGTAATCAAATATAAATGCAGGTCATGCAAATACTTGTACTGTAGAAAGACATTCTTCAAATTAAGAATACTCCGGGAGATATTTCAAAGGGTCACGTAAGCTCGTTGATAAATAAATCAGACGGCCCTTCGTTCCCATATTTTGTTGCCCTCGGTTAAAAATAAAATCATAAAGTCCGTGGCCATTCTCAACTCGGCCACGAATCGCAAATCGATTATTGAACTCAGTTTTATATACGTATACAGAACCGTGCACGGCTAGCGAACAACCAACGACTTTTCGTTGCTCGTTAACAAATAGGTTTTCAATCGAATAAAAATTTATTTACGCAACGTGCGCGAAGAAATAAATGTTTATTATCCGTTAACCGAGTACGGGCGCGTGTATTGGAATTCGTGTCGTATGTTATCCGTATCTTCTATTGTCCGCGCGGTTTCGCGTTTCCCTGGTTCGGAATTATTAATCGTTCGTCCAATGCTTCGATTCTCCCAATTACTAGCCGCGAACGTTTTATCCAAATATTTACAACCCGTCGTTGATAACTTCGTTTGAATACCTATTGTTTGGAATATCGTTTCCCAGTCTGAAAAACTTTTGCTCGCCGCAAAGGTTCGTATATAAGAATATAAGAACTATTAATAAAGAATTATTAAACGATTTGCCTCGTCATAAATATGTATTCGAAATTAGCCGAACGTGATAGAATAGCCAAAT